CTCTCTCCTCAGGATTCTCTGAGTTTGTCTAGGGTAACTGAAGTAACAAGTCAGAAGGTGCCTGAGGAGTATTTCCCACCTAGCGGAAGGGCCTATCTGTAGGACGAGCCAACGAGAACACCACACACGATGTGGGGGTGGGGGGGGGGATGAGAGAGGGGCCTGAAGACACTGCTTGACCCCTGGGTCAGTGACACTACAGAGCAGCTATGTCACTGTCTGCCCCATCACATGAGCCAAAAAGCATCCCTTTTCCTTAGGCTGGTTTAGGCTGAGTATCAGGTGCCCACAGACAAAAGAATTCTTAGAAGCACCTTTCAGAAAAATCCCACTCTGGGGCACTTGGGTGGCTCAGTCGGTTGAGCATCCGACTCTTGATTTTGGCTCAGGTCATGATCCCAGGGTCCTAGGATCGAGCCCCGTGTCGGGCTCCATGCTGACGTCACAAAGCCTGTTTGGGATTCTCCTCTCTGCCCCTCCCCTGCCCATGCTCTCTCTCTCTCTCTCTCTCTCTCTCTCTCTCTCTCTCTCTCAAGGTAAATAAATAAATTTTAAAAAAACAACAAAAAAGAAAATCCCACCGTGACCCACAGGAACCCACCCTGTCATACCCTGTCCTGGCCACTACTCCCCACCCCTCACCCCTGCCTGAGCAGTCAGTTCTCTCCCTGAGTCTTCAGTCAGGGAGACTTTCTGGGAGCTTCAGCAGGTGCTCCCCTGTGGTTGGTGACACCCCAATTCCGGGAGTCAAGGAGGGGAGGGCTCTGGACTCCACCCCACAGTTCTATTCCTGTGAGGTGGGACCTTGAAAGCAAGTTCCCTTCACATTGCATCCCACTGCTGCCATCTACACATTTATAAGTCTCCAAAGTGCCACCAGGGGCCTGTCAGACAAAACCACACACACACGCATCTCACAAGGGTAGCCATGATTTGGACAAACAGCATAGAGCCTCTAAGCAGAAAAATGGAATTTCTTTCCTGTGATATTTTCAAGGCTTCTCCCCACATAGCCAGTAGTCATAACTAGCTCCTTCCAGTTAGTGCCTCGCTAGAAAGGGGGCCCAGGAAAAGTGTCTGTTGCTGGGTTTTCTGCCTCTGCTTAGCACTTCCTCATCTGTACCAAAAAGAAACACTGAAATTTCCACCCAAATTCTCTTTTTTTTTAAAGCTTATTTATTTTGAGACAGAGAGGGCGAGCATGTGTAAGTGGGGGAGGGACAGAGAGAGGAAGAGAGAATCCCAAGCAGGCTCTGCACCGAAAGCACAGAGCCTGGTGTGGGGCTCGAACCCACAAACCATGAGATTATGACCTGAGCTGAAGTCAGATGCTTAACGGACTGAGCCACCCAGGCAGCCCCACCCAACCCAAATTCTTAAAAGTTCCCTTTTCTCTCCATTTCCATCGGAGGAGGAGATGAGGGAGCCCATTTTTCATGGTTTTCTAATGACTGCACACTCTTCCTTTGGGTGAATTACCTTCATTTATGTAGCCATTCCCTTACTAAAGGACGCTGGATGTGTTCAATCTTCGACTCTTAAAAATAACACTGTGACAAACACATTTTAGTAGAAACCTTTTTCCCTGTTTGGTTTATTCCCAGATACAGATTTACCAAGGCAACAGGGAGGACTTTGGTACATATTTCAGTGGGACACACACACACACACACACACACAAAACCCAAAAGTTGGGGCGCCTGGGTGGCGCAGTCGGTTAAGCGTCCGACTTCAGCCAGGTCATGATCTCGCGGTCCGTGAGTTCGAGCCCCGCGTCAGGCTCTGGGCTGATGGCTCAGAGCCTGGAGCCTGTTTCCGATTCTGTGTCTCCCTCTCTCTCTGCCCCTCCCCCGTTCATGCTCTGTCTCTCTCTGTCCCAAAAATAAATAAACGTTGAAAAAAAAAAAATTTAAAAAAACAAAACCCAAAAGTCATAAAGCAACAAGGCAAAGATACAAACAAGAGTCCTTGCCGAGACAAAATGAAGAGGAAGTAGGTGGAGCGTTCGATGCCTCAAAGAAGGTGGTAGGAGGCAGGGCAAGTATGGAAAGTCACCTCCACTGTTGGACTAATGTTAGATCGTCTATAAGCAAAATAGCTCTGGCAGATAAGCGTGTGTGGTTTTTCCATTCTTCAACTGGCAAATGTTTCCGTTTCCTTTGACGAAGAGCTCTGCTTGAATACAGAAGCCAGATAGGGTTTATCTCGGCCCTGCCTTCCAAAATACAAGTTTCGTGTGTGGTTAACATGCGATCTTGTATCTGAAATAATCACCAATTCCTGACTGTCTTCCACAGCCACCTCCAGCCCGCTCTGGGCTTCTTTTAGAGGGCTGAGGGTGATGGCCTCCCGCTGGCCTCCCTGCCTCCAGCTTTGCCTCCGTTGAATCCATTGGCTGTTATACTCCCAGATGAATTTTCCTCCGTGTCTATTCCTGCATCTGACGTCACCGAACACAAATTTTAACATAGAGCTACCCGAATTGCTTTCTCCAGTTTTCAGCAGACTGGGGGCAGACACGGAGAAAGTGGGAGGTTAGGGTCCTAGTTTGGATTCCCTCCAAAGCAGAGCCTGAGACAAGGATTTGGGAGCAAGTAGTTTCTTTGGAAGGGGATCCCAGGAAGCACTGTGAGGGAGTGGAGAAATGACAGAGGAAAAAAATCAGTGAAGTGTGTGTTTGTTGGTGAGCAGATTATCACTGGGACAACTGAGACATAAAGCCACAGGGACTACTGAAAAACTTCGGGGACGATCCCCCCCGGAGTTGTCCCCCGGAGGCCAGCAGGCTGGGGAATTTACCATCAACTGCTCTCCCTTGATGCTTCAGGGTTGCCTCTGGGATGACTTCCGGCCTGCCTCACTTGTGGCCAGAAAATGTCCCCAGATGGAAACACGGAAAGTGAGTGCAGGAACCAACTGTATACCTTTGGGAGGATACATCCCCATCAGACATTTGTTCTTCCTGAGTCTGGTTGACATTAACAAAGATGGGAGGAACAAGATGAATCTTCCTAAAACATGCCTGTGCACACATCACTGCCCTATTTCTCTCCTGCTCGAAACTCACCAAGAGCTCCCCACTACCCACATAGCTCAGCCTGAACTCCACCATTCAGCCTGCGAGTATGACCTGCATCTGCCTGGGCCGCTGGAACTTCTCTCTGCCCAGCTCCTCCACCACAGCCAGAGAGTGTGACCACTGGCGCATTTCAGGCCTTGTCTATTCTTGCACCTGTGCCTTTGTTCAATCTGTGTCCCCAACCCGGGCTGCCCTATCTCTCACACTGCTTGGCCCCATCCAAAGTTCCTCCACTTCAGAATCCTATCCTTCAGTGACCAATTCATCTCTTTTTAAGACCCCTTCTTTTAAAAATATTGTTTTAATGTTTATTTATTTTTGAGAGAGAGAGAGAGAGAGCAGGGGAGGGGCAGAGAGAGAGGGAGACACAGCATCCGAGGCAGGCTCTAGGCTCTGAGCTGTCAGCACAGAGTCACATGCGGGGGCTCAAACCCACAAGCCGTGAGATCATGACCTGAGCTGAAGTCAGACACTTAACTGACTGAGCCACCCAGGCGCCCCATGACCCCTTCTTATATGTCTCACCCACAGGGGACTTTGCACAGTCTTGTATCTTTCTTAAGTTTATTCATTTATTTTGAGGGAGGGGGCACAAGTGGGGGAGAGGCAGAGAGAGAGGAGGAGAGAGAGAATCCCAAGCAGGCTCCACGCTGTCAGCGCAGATCCCATGAACAATGAGATCATAACCTGAGCTGAAGTCGAACACTTAACCGATTGACCCACCCAGGTGCCCCATACACAGTCTTGTATTTTTGTTTTCACTTCATGAATACATTTTCCACTTCCCAGCAATGCTAAAACCAGCAGGAATATACTAGTGTATCCCCAGTGTCCAGAAGGGCGCCTTGCACACACAGGCACCTCCTTGATCAAGGTTTGCTGATGGTAAGCACGAGGATTGGTTTTGCCCCTCTAACTGCAATGAGGGTACAGATGGAAAGATGCACCTTTGTGTCCATCCCACTCCCCAGGGCCTGTCACTACATTGCCTGACGTCAGCTTGTTGATGGCCGTGGAAGCTATAAGACTCACAGCTAATGCACGGTCCACAGGCCCCCCCTCCCTGGGACTAAAGCACAAAGGAGGAGGCGGGGATGGTCTTTCTGGTTCTAGACACCAGGAGTGCCAGGAAGAGGAGCTGAACAGAAGTAGAGGGTGGGGGAAGGGCAGCCCAAGGGGTGCTAATCCCAGCTTCCTGTCTGGATTTTCCTTGACTGCTGCTCAGGGCCTATCTTAGGATGGTCACAGCTGCCGAAATAGATCTCTCCCCTCACCTGTTCTGAAGCAAAGAAGACCTTGATAACTTCCTGTCAAAAGAATGCATGCTTTAGTAATTTTTCCAGGATGTGGGACAATAATGGGGGCACTGGTGCTGAACTCTTTGGGGTTCTCCACCTCTGGAAAGCAGCAGCCAGGAATGAGGGAGCAAACGGCCACAAGGGGGGAGTCCAGGGGCCAGCCACCCGTTTCTGGCCAGGGCCCAGTCTTTTCTGTGAACTTGGTTGATGTTCGCTTCCTTGGTCTGCTCCAGAAACCACTCCCAGCCTGAAGGACGCCCCTCTGATTCAGAGTGAAACACATCCTCTGCCCTCCTCACTCACCTGCCTCTCTCCGCCAAGTCCGCTCCTACAGAATTCTCTACGGGCCAGTCTCCCCAGCCCCTCACTCATTCACTCAACAAACACGAGCCCCCAGGCTAGGCATTGGAGGTGCACAAGGGTGAGAGGTACAGGGAGGAGCAAGATGCGATGCCCGGGGAACCGACGCAGGTTGGAGGCGGGCATCCCTCAGAGGCGACACCTCCTGTGGGAGAGCCTAACACGCCCGGAGCGCTGGGGCCGGGGAGGGACCTGCGCATGCGTGGAAGGAGAGTTTCGCGTCGCCCACGTCGCCTAGGTAACCCGGACCCGCGGAAACCAGCATGGCCTTCCGCAGCGGAGGAAGCTGGGGTCAGCTCCCATCACAGAGTGCAGCCCCGACGGTGAGGGCTGAGCCGGCCTTTGAGGTTGGCTGACTGGGGAGACGTCCCTGGAGGAAGTGGGGTGGGTGAGCCGCAGAGGAAGAGACTCAGGGAAGGGGGAGGCCGTGGGCGCGCGGGGAGAAGAACGCGGCCCCTGAGGGGTTAGGGAGCAACTCGGGGGGGGGG